TTTTTCAATGGAATGTCAAGGTCGGCCGATTACTATCGTGGTGGAGCACGTTGCGAGGAAAATGACTCCGTTGTTCAAAGTGTCCATCTCTATTATGATTACTCGCGGATTGCATTATGTCTCGTACGAAATCGGTGATTTTATGAAATATCGGAATACCGGCAATTATCTCAAGAGAGCGATAATTTCAGTATAGCAGGAGGAAATATTGGTTCAAGAATGTCATATCTATTTTAATCACTCACAGATTGCATCCGGCGCTACGTGCCGTAATACGAGAGAGAGAATTATTTCATGATATAAAAATGACTGGTAATCATCCTGTGAAGTATCATTTCAATGATCAGGTTATCGTGATACATCATCCTTCGATTTACAATTTTGTTTGTAAAGTATTTGTTTTTTTATCGAATCTCACAAATCGCATTTTAAACGTTCGTGTAATAACGACTGCTTTATTAATATTAAATATCACGTTTATCAATCATCGAGAGTCATCGTTTAGTGCGTGTACTCATGATATTATTTGAAATTGTTAAACAATCGACTTTTTTTATTAACAAACAATTTTTTTATGTTTTATGGTTTCACGAAATGTTTTAATAAACTTTTGTTTCACAGTGACAAGTGTTCGATTTCAAACAAACTGCACCAATGTTAACAACGTTCATGATTTTTAATACAGTCTTAATTTTGATCATCCAAAATCGATCGTTTAGCGACATTGAAGTTTCACTGCTTTCTCACTGATCGATGCACACTATCGATTAAGGAACAGTCCATCAATGTATTCCGATTTCTCACTAGTTGATCCAAAAATAGTATGATGATTTACGATAGCCCCCGCAGAAATCAGCAGCCAGAACAGACTGGAATCAATTACAATTAACGCGACGTCGACGAGGAGATTGTTCATTCAGGAAATCGTCACTTGGCCTGTCAAAAACGTCGAAATCTCGAAGGTTGTAGAATTTCTGAAGTGTGGCTATAGTTTCAATCCAGCCACATAATTAGCAATATTCCGCTAATTATGTGTAATGTTTTATCACAGAACGTCATGTTAAAAAGTGCGACAGCTGCTGCCTTCGGGTTCAAGTGACAGCGTTTTTTTCACCAGAAGAGCATCACTTTTATCGATAACTTTGACATTTGACAACCAGTTCGAGTTTTCTTTTTTTCGGAAAAAATCTTCGATTGAGAAATTATCATTTTATCGGCTCGTAACCTCCGAGTGTGCTCGTTGCTCCAAATTCCGCCTCGATCGACGGACGGATCGATTCTCCTCACGAGAGTAGATCTTCTCTTTCTTCTTTCCCTCCTTTCCGTCCTCTTCGTAACGAATGTGCCCGACGGGACTCCCCACAAGATTTACATGTTAATGCGCAGGTATCTCACTTCAGGTACTGATATCTCGATGTGCTGCTCCGATGTCGCTTGATATCACTCACACTAACGTACGACACTTTTGTATGCACTGTCCGTCGTTCAACTCTCTGTTCTCACTGTCGCCGTCATTATCGTCCGTCTTCTCTTTTATCACAATTTAGCACGCGAATGTATTTTATCACCATAAAACTAAAATTTATTTTTTCATTCGCGAAGATAGGAGATTGATATTTGTTGACGTTTGCATTATTTTAAAGATCGATTTATCACGGTGCGTATGTGTGTAAGGGATTATTCCTGGTTAGACACGATCGTCAAAGACACAAAATCATTATGTAAGGCGGCGATATAACGATGGTTTAAAAGGTCTCGATTCGCGTCAGCGTTCGCGAAAATATTCTTCGGTATGGACTTCGTCGGATTACATGTCGAGTGCCAAGGCGCCCGAGGCACCTATTCGCAGAAGATGTCACCGAACTAATGATCGCTTCTGGCGGTCGTCGTCACGTCTGGAGGTAATCCAAAAGTCAAAACCGTGCGACTTCTCGTTGTGTGTTCGTCTCGTTTTGGAGCGCAGCTGATCTCGTCGTGCGCGCGAAACGTCAACCGCGTGTCTACTAACGGCGAGCGTCCAAATGTACGGTACGTCAAGTGCCGTTGTTGTGTCGTCGATCGCGTGGACATTATTGTGTACCACGGTGTTCACGACGTATTGTCACGTCACCTTGCGCGATAAAGGGGGCAATATTTCGCGGATCGGCGTCGCGAGCGTGTCGTGCGTAAATTCGACATCGACTGTCAACTCACCTGCAGTATGTATCCTCGCGTGTAATCCTCGTGGGTCCAGCCGAAGGCAGCTAGGATACGTGTCACTTGCACGGGGGGCAACTGGTTGAACAACTGATCGAGCAAGATCTTAAGGCGTATCGGCAGTGCGCGCGAGCCGTAGAGTACGAGGGATGCGACGTCAAACGCGGCCGTCGGCTCGACAGTCTCTGAAGCCGGTGGCCTCTCCTCCTTCTCCGCGACTTCGCCACCACCACCGACACAACCACCTCCACCACCACCGCCGTTACGATCCCCACCGGGGATACCGCCACCACCACTGTCACTGCCACTACCACCACCACTACCGCCGCCACCTCCACCGCCGCCACCGCCGCCACCTCCACCACTGCCACCTCCCCCTCCTCCACTTCCTGCGCTACCAGTCGCTGGTGCCGTCATCGTCGTCGTCCCCGTCACCGCCACCGCAGCCGCCGCCACCGCCGCCGCCGCCGTCGTCGTCGACGTCGTCGTTGCCGCCGTCGTCGTCGTCGTCGTTACCGACGCCGGGTGCTTTACCCTCCCTACGACGCTTTTGTCCTCCCTACCAGTAGAACGAGGGCCGGAGACGACATCCTCACTCCCGGCACCGCCACCACCGAGCCGCTGCTGCTGTTGTTGTTGAGCATGCTGCTGCTGCTGCTGCTGCTGCTGTTGTTGCTGCTGTTGTTGGTGGATGCTTGACAGTCGCGCCAGCGCTAAAACACGAGCAAGTGGAAGAGAGAGGTCAGAAAAGAACCTTCTTGCCGGTAGTGCACGCGCGCGTGCGAGCGCGTGTGTATTGGTAGGTGAATGTGGACAAACGTCCTCTGTCCCTTCCTTTCCCGCCGTGTCCCCACCCTATCCAGCCCCCCTCGCGTGCCCCACCCGTGTCCCAAGCTCCGGGTACTCCCACCCCCGCACATGCTCTCGTCTTTCTCCGTTCGCGTTTTGTGTCTCCCTTTCTCGCAGTCTATCGTTCGAGTTCTCTCCCTCTCTTTCTATCTTTCTCTCCGTCACCCGGTCGTCCCCTCGAGCGGACTCGGGTGTCCTCCCCTCATCCCCCATCGCCTCTCTCTGTCTTTCTCTCTCCGGTTCTGTCTCCGATATCGTAGAGGCAGCTTAGGGTCGCTGTGGCACCGAGGGTACTTACTTACCCCCATCCGTCCTCGCGACCGGACCTACCGTCCCCCACTCCCGGTCGATCCTACTACTAGCACCGCCAGCGTCATTTCTACCACTACCATTGCTACTACCACTATCGTTTACTACTACCACACCAGTGTCGTCGTTGTCAGTCCGATACCACCACTAGTGTCGTGCCACCACTATACGCTGAGGACGACCGCGATGAGACGCGCGGCATATCCCCTCCATCCAGATTTTCTCATGAGACTCTGGCATCCATCAACCTGCTGCTGCCGCCGCCGTCGTACCGTCTCGACTTGTACGAAGACCATCGCACGCTACCGTCGCGGCGCGGCGCGATGTGGCGTGGCGCAGCAAGAAGAAAACAGTATTCGCAGGTATCTTCGCGATGTGATTTCGATCGTTCGATTTTTTTAGCGCGCTCTAGATCTAAAATTATTCGATCTAAAATTCTTCAAACTTGATAAAAGAACTATGCTATATGCTTTTCTCTCGTCACCAAATTGGAGTAATAAAAATTATACATACGTTTGTACACACACACACACACACACACACACACACACACACACACACACACACACACACACACACATCATTTTGCTATTGCTTAAGACTTGTACAATCACCCACGAAACTCAATTTATTTTCATATTATAATTAAGATTAAAGTAAGACGAACTTGATGTATGCGACTATATGATACTATTCAGAACTTAATATAGGCTACTTTGTAGTGCAGTTGTGCGGATAATCCGATTTGAGTTGCACTTTGATATTCGAGGAGAAAGTTGGCGTTGCGAAGGTGGTGGATGGTCATAAGCAGTCCAATGCAAGGTGCGTTGTATAAATGAACTCTCAGTATGTAATCGTAAACGAACATACAGCGTAATGCTTTAATACACGTTCATTTATGGTCGAATAAAAAAATATTTATTAAAACTAAAAAAATTCCAGAGATTTAATTACGAAATTAATCTGATTTCTTCCACAAAATATAGATTTTTTTACAATTTACTCATTTTCATCAAATTATTATATTTGATAAAAATAAAAATAAAAATTTGATAGAAATAAAAATTTTGCGAAGCTAAAATTTGCACATGAAATCAGATGAAAAATTGTGAAATAAAAGAAAGAAAGAAAAAGTTATATAGTTACATTATTATCACTGTTATAGATATTTTGAAATTTTCATTTTTAAAGCAGTAATTAAAGTAGACGAACCGTGTAACGCTTAATTAACTATTCCACGAATATGCGTTCATGTAACTATAGACTCGCAAGTTCCTCATTCAGGAATGACTTCAATATGTTCGATAATACGCTTCGTGCGAGATAAAGGAAGCTCTAATTAAAGAATATCCCGATTTGACGTAATATCGCATAATACCGGAAAAAGAAAGGAAGGAAAGACACGCAGAAATTCACGCGAGAATCACCAAGAACCGTGCCGTTTGTTCCAACAGAACCATTATATTTACGACACGGTTATTTATCGGTAGTCCAACTCTGCTTTGAATCACGATTCTTCACCGCGGCATTATCGAAAGTATGCGCGTGCGAGCATGAATGCATTTTGTATTAACTTTATGCTCCCTACCCCTCTCCCCCCCCCCTCCTTGCCCTGTCACGAAATTAATAATCGTAGTCTATCAACGTGGCGCGTGAGATCGAGCGAGTGATAAATCGCGTATAATAGACGCCGGATAAACGTATGACAAATCGACGTATCGTATCGTCGTGAAATCGATATAAGCATCGTTGGAGATTTATTGTTACCTTGGGTGCAACGTTCCCTAATGAGGCAAAAGCGGATCATCGGCCGCTCGTCGCCTGATGGTAAGCGCCTCGCGCGCTCCGGCAATCGCGTTACGGCAATCGCGGTTGGGAATCGTGCGCAAGAAAAAAAGAAAAGAGAAATATAAGAACGTCGACGCTTTTCTGGTGTCGAACGTAACGACGCAGGCTCCGTGCGCACGCTCATCGTTGTCGTCGTGGGGAACACCCATCCGCAACACCAGCGGGGACCAGCGGACGCTTTCCCTCTAGAACCGTCACGCTTTTCGCACCTGACGATTACTATCTCGGGACACGAAAGTTTATGGATCTCTTTACAGTCCAGGCGGACTGGCGCGGACTCGTAGATCCTATCGCGGCCGCGGCGGTGTTTCGCATATGACGAAAACGCTAATCGAACGCGTGTTGCACGCGCGCTAATGCTTCTCTCCTATCTCCGCCGTCTCGCCCCGCTTTCCTTCATCAATCTGAGAGCTCTGCACTTGTCGGACGGCATGATCGAAAGTGTCCATCGCTGATGCGATTGGTACGCGCCGCTACAAACGCGAGAGCCAATGATAAGAGATTGGAGTAACGCGGTTACTTTTTTAAGCGGGATATTGCGCTCGTCCGTCCTTCATCAGAATCTTAATATACCAGTTTGCAGACATCAAGTTTGTTTATACTTCGGTTTGCGACTTAAGAGCTGATTTTTTTTTTTTAACAAAGATTAAGAATTAGATTATTAGTTACTGGAAATTCAATAAAAATTCCACATAAAAAAATTCCGGAGATTTAATTACGAAATTAATCTGATTTCTTCCACAAAATATAGATTTTTTACAATTTACTCATTTTCATTAAATTATTATATTTGAAATAAAAAATTTTGCGCAGCTAAAATTTGCACATGAAATCAGATGAAAAATTGTGAAATAAAAGAAAGAAAGAAAACTTTGCGATAAGAAATGTTATTTTTCTTAACGAGCAAGATGGACAAGATTAATTTGTCTTACTAAAGGCTTTATTTTTATTCGAAGTTTCAAGTAGAGGATATGAACATTTCAGATTGATTGAGAATTAATAATGACTCGAAAACTATTTTTTTTCTTCAAACAATTTCGAAGGGACTGATATATAATCATTGCGTGTCGATGGGAAAGTCGTCACAGGGATCCATTACGTGATTTCTGTGCGATCGATAAGATTGAAGGAGCGGTGTGTTCCATGCGGCGACGATGAGGCCAGCGTGATTGTCATTATAGGTGCCATATCGGGGGGGCCCCCCGCGAGCGGTCCCGACCCTCGCGGCTGAGCTCAGCGTGGGATCAATAAAAATCGAGGAGTCATCGCGATTGGGCGCCACTTGTCATTAATGACTATCCGGTTTTTCGATTTAATTAAACGGCGATGACGATCTTGCCACCTGAACGTCGGCCGTGGCTAACCGCGACCGGTAAACGAGCCGCATCGTCATGTGAAAGTTAAAAATCGCGACTAGATAAAGATAAGAACCGGAATAGCGATCTTTTCGGTTGGTCCAGGGCGTATGACCGAAAGTCACCGACGATCGTCGATATCGATGTCGGTTTCGCGTTCGGCTTTAAATAAAATCATTAATTAGAGAGGCGCATCCGCATTTCAATGGTGTAATCGATAATCCGTATTTTGCACGCACAAGATACCGCGGGAGCGTCGGTGGGTGCCGCTGAATTACACATACATAACCACGCGGAGAAGCGCGGGCGGGATACGTTGAATATAAAAACAAATCGCGTCAGTCGGTGGCGTACGAAATCGCATTTCCCGCGGCAGTGATAAACAAAACAGAATTATCTACGGACCGTCGCTATTTACCCGATCCTTGTTTTATTTCCCCT